GTAAAGGTGCGGGTGCGTATGATTGCGTGTGGCCCTGGGAGGATTTTTCAACCAAGGGTCTCGGCGACCTGGGAGAGGATCTTGTCGAATCCACGGGGGATGGAACTACAGGGAAGGCGCCAAGGGGGCCTTGTAATAGCCGAAGGGCCGGCTTTGATACAGAGTGTGGCGGAGGTCAAGGGGCCGGTTGGCCTTCATGCGGCCTTGATGGGGGGGGGGGGTGAGTTGAGTGAGTGAGTGAGTGAGTTGAGTGAGTGAGTGAGTGAGTGAGTGTCTTCGTGCGTGCGAGCGTGATGCGTGTGCGTGCGAGCGTGATGCGTGTGTCTCTCTGTCTGTCTTTTCTGTCTGTCCGTGTGTCGCTGCTAAGGTGTGTGGTAGGGGGGGCTGGGCGCACTGAGGATCGTCTTGATGAGCGCAACGATCGGGAAGGCCTCCGGCTCCTTGGCGGCGGAGCCCTCCTTCTTGACGGTCTCCTTGAGCCTCTCAATGATCTGAATGTCGTCGGGGAGGAGGTTGCCGACGAGCGCCCGGGTCGAGTCCAGCATGACGCCGACGCCGCCCCACGGGTTGTCGAGGAACCACTCGACCCCCCAGACGATGCCACCGACCAGCGAGAGGACGTTGTTGAGAAGCAGGACGATGAAGCTGTCGACGCCGTCGAGGAGGTCCTTGACCTTCGCCCCGATGGGGGAGAGGGCCTCGTAGACGTCCTGGAGAGGTCGAGGGAGGGAGGGAGGGTGAGGGAGGGTGAGGGAGGGTGAGGGAGGGCCTAGGGAGGGTCTAGGGAGGGTCTAGGGAGGATGGGGGAGAGTGTGAGCGTGAGTGTGAGAGCACGTGTACGTGTGAGCGTAAGCGTGTGCGTGTGCGTGTGAGAGCGTGTGCGTGTGGGGGGGAGGGGGGGGGGCGCACCTGGAGTAGGTCGCCGACCGAGTCCTTGATCTCCTTGAGCAGCTCGCCCGTGTTGGAGAGCAGCTTGGTGTCGATGCCGTCCCCCTTGAGGACGTCGGTCACCGTGTCGTTGATGTTCTCGAGGAACTTGCCCGCGAAGCCGAGCACCTAGAAGGCTCCTAGAAGGCTCCTAGAAGGCTCCTAGAAGAGGAACTTGCCCGCGAAGCCGAGCACCTAGAAGGCTCCTAGAAGGCTCCTAGAAGGCTCCTAGAAGGCGAACTTGCCCGCGAAGCCGAGCACGTCGTGGACGAGTGCAAACACGCGCCGCAGGCCGCTGGAGCCATCCGCGCTGCCGATGACCTTCGCCTTGAGGCCGGGCAGGATGCCGGGCGCATCGCCGGTGCCGACGAGGCCCTTCGTGAGCAGCTCCTCGATCTTCTGGAGGATCGAGTTGACCAGCTCGGCGCTTCCGGCGAGGATGGCCTCGACCGCCTTCCGGACGTCGGGCAGCAGGCCTACAGGAAGGTTCCAGGAGAGGTCCAGGAGAGGTCCAGGAGAGGTCCGGTGTGAAGTTGACGTCGGGCAGCAGGCCCGGGCTGTCCTCGTCGCCGATCAGAATGGCGGCGAGCGCCTCCTTGAGCGCCTGTCTCTTCATGACTGACGCGATCACTTCGTACTCACAGGATGGCGGCGAGCGCCTCCTCGAGCGCCTCGAGCCCGACGCCGAGCTTGGTCGCGATGCTCCCGAGGAAGCCGACGATGCCTGTGGTACTCATTGACAACCACTAGGACAACCAGCTCTGAACTGAGGACTCTAGCCGCGAGAGGAGGCCGACGGTGCCTCCGAGGAGGGCGGGGAGCAAGTCGCGAAGCAGGAGCTTGATGGCGTAGCGCAGAGTCTCGAGCCCGCTCCCGAGTGCGCTCCTGATGTGCTCGAGCAGGTTGCCTGTGAAGCAAGAGCTCTCATCCATCAGTCACGAGGAGCGGTGGTCAGTGTGGCTCTTGATGTGCGCTCGAGCAGGATCTCGCCGATCGGCTCGCCAGTCAGGTGCTCGATCGCCTCGCCGATCTTTGAGACGCCCTCGAGGATCTGTCCGGTGAGGGCGAGCACCTGTGGCCGAGCACACGTGTGGTCTTCAGCTCAGTGCCGAGAGTACCAGCTGGCCGAGTACTCGCAGTGAAGGATTCGTGACTCGTTCTCGTCACCTGGCCGTGCAGGGCAGGGACACATGCACATGTGCATGTGCATGTGCATGTTTCTAAACCCCATCTCTCGTCTCAGAGTTTGACCGGTGGATTGACATATTGATTCCACCTGGCCGAGCACGCGGTCGATCAGGCCCCCGATGCCGCCGCAGCCGGAGTTGCAGTTGTTGATGATGCCGCCACCGCCGCGGCCGAAGAGCGCCTTAGGTGAGGCGAGGTAAGCTTCTCCACACACACGAGCGTGGGGCGAGCGTGCGCGTGTGTGTGAGCGGTGCGTGGGTGTGTGGGTGCGTGTGTGGGTGGGGTGTGGGGGGGGGAGGAGGAGGGGGGGGGGGAGGAGCCTTGAGGAAGCCGGCGGTCTGGTTGAGCACGCCCTTGACAACGAGGAGCGTGTCGCCGAGCACGTACGCGACGAGCTCGCCTGTATCTCGGCGCAATCTCGGCTCATCTCGGGCAGATCTCGGGCCATCTCCGAACATGTGCGCGCGATGCAGCTGAAGAGCGAATCCCGGCTCATCTCTCGGCTCATCTCGGAGTAATCTCGGGGCAATCTCGGGCTAGTCTCGCCGACGGAGCTGAAGAGCTTCCCCTCGAAGATGTTCTTGACGAGGTCGCCGGTCGCCTGCCGACGAGATGAGGACGAGATATTGGCCGAGGTGTGGCCGAGGACAGGGTGGTGGCCGAGGTGTGGCCGAGGTGTGGTCTCGGATCTATCCCGGCTCTCCTGCAGGATGCCGACGACCAGGCCGGGCAGCGAGCCGAGCACGGTCTGGAGGGCCTGCAGCAGCGTGGCGCCATGGCTAACGTTGGGACTGGGAGAGGGGAACCGAGGCACAGCGCTGGAGGGCCCCGAAGACGGCGCCGGCGAGCGCAAAGATCTTGCCGAAGATGCCGGCCAGACCGCCGTGCGGGCAGCCGCACCTGGAAGCAGAAGAAACTATAGTGCTCGTGCGAGACCTCTTTCTCGGCCAGACCGCCGTGGGCAGCCGCACCGGGAGAGAGGTGGGGGAGGTTAGGTCAGGTGAGGTACACATCTCAAGGTGGGGGGGTGGGGGCTCGCGACTCCACGTCTCAAAGAGAGGAGCCCCCCACACGGCTCCAATGTGCAAGGAGGAAGAATGAGAGCGATGAGTAGTGGGCAGCCGCAGCTAGAGGGGGGGGGGGCGGAGGGCTAGTCGCGTGAGAGAGAGGGGGAGGCAGCCGCACCCGTCGGGCCAGATGCCAGCGATCGCGTGCTTGATCTTACCGAGCAGTTCGGTGGCGCCGCCGAACAAGGCCTCGAAGAGGGCCGTGAGGCTGTTCTGCAAAGGGGAAGGGGCGGGCGGGGGGGGGGGCGGGGGGGGGGGGATTAGGTGGAGGCGGCGAGGCGGGGCGCGTGCGTGCGTGTGGCGCGCGCGCGGCGGGGGGTGAGGGCGGCGGCGACGGGGGCGGCGCGGGGCTGGAAAGGCGAGGGCGAGAGCGGGGCATCCGGACACGAGAGAGGAGCCAGGAGGGCGCGCCTTGATGCAGCTGAGGAACTCGGGTACCCGCTTCTCGATGGCCTCGATGATCTAAGAGGGGGGCGGGGGGAGGCGGCGGCGCGGCGGGCGGCGGTGTGAGCATGCGGGCGCTAGGACACTGCTGCCGCTAGGACACTGGTGCGTGAGAGTGCGGCGCGGGCGGCGCGCCCTTTCCCACTTCTTGGGGCACTTGCCATCCTCGATGAGGCACTTGACGGCGACGATGACCGTCTTGAGGGTGGTGCCCACCGCGCAGGCGATGCGGCTGAAGAAGGCCTGTGCGCCGCGCGAGGGCATATGTGTGGCGCCGCTCATAGCTCAGCTCTGTGCGGCTGCGGCAACTGGCGGAGGCGGGGGCGGCGGAGCCGCACCTCGAGCGCGTTCCAGAGGCCGCCGCAGCTCACCAGCGAGGTGACGAGCTTCTTGACCTTGTCGAGCGACGACTCGCCGGAAAAGACCTTCTTGAGGATGTTGTCGATCAGGCCGCCGAGCGAGTCTCCGAGCATGTCGGTCACAGCTTCTGTGATCTTCTTTGTCCCCTCCTCAACCTTGCCCAGTAGGTTCCGGATCTGCACCTTTCCCGCGAGATCGACGTCTCCGAGCTTCACGAGGGCGCCATCGTCCTTGACGCCGCGGGATTTCTTTTTGATGAGGTAGTGCTTGGTGGGCTGTGGGCAGGTCGGCTTGTCGTACGAAGGGCAGGTCGGCTTGTCGTACGAAGGCATGGCGGACCAGCTTGTCGCGGTACTCGAAACACCGCGCTTTCGAGACGCCGCATAGATCTACCCGGGCGAAGAAGGCGGTGGTCGTGCCATCTTCGCTTCGTACTCGAAACCACCACGCCGCAACCGTCGCCGGCGCGCGACACGTTCCCGTAGGCCGGACTGTCCTCGTCGAGAGTGTGTGCCGCCAAGGCGGGACGCACTCAGGGACGGTGCCGACGGGACGCGGCTCGAAGGGTGTGGCTCCGCAGCGCGGCTGGCACTCGTCGCAGAGGCCTCACCTTCGAAAAGTCGGGCATGGCTCTACCCGCAACTTTCTCGCTAACGCGCGCGCACCGCCGAGCCTGCGGCGGGCGCGCTGCGGCCGCACGTCTAACTTCGTCATAGTGCCACGACGCGCGGCCTAGATTTAGCCCACGCGCCTCAGCTCGCAAACACTCACCCATTGAATTGTCACTGCCCGTGAGTGCGAGATAGGGCTAGCAGTAGGCAGCTAGCCTGTGAGGAGGGCGTCCATAGACACCTCACTAGACCCCACACACGGTCTCGTCCGTGCCTCGCCGGCCGGCGAGATTGCTAGAGGCGGAGCAAGCCTGCTCTAGCCTCGCATGTTACTCCCTGTCGCCTGTTTGTGTTGTTGTGCTGCTGTTTGTACCCTTGGCACCGTGGTGTGCTGGGGGGGGCGACAGGGAGGATGTGGCCTTGAGTTATGTGTACGCCAACTCAGGGTGTGTGGCAGCCAGCTGGCTGTGTGTCTTGTGAGCCTGTTTGTGTCTGTGTGTCGCTCGTGCGTGCCGTCATCATCTGTCCAGCGTCCACCCATACCGCGTTGGTGTGTCCAGTCCGAGCCTGGCTGTTCTTCACCTTACTACATACATACATGCATGTGTGTCTCTTCGCTGGCGAGTACAGACCACGCCTCCCTTTTTCACAGGCGGGGAACAGCTTTTCGCTGCGCATGCTCGAGCCCCCGGCGAGGGCTTGTGCTGTGAATAGCAGGCGTGGTCTCTACTCGCCAGGTCTCCTCGCGCGTGTCACTCGCGCGTGTCGCTCGCGGTGTCGCCGTCTTCGCACTTCGGTTCTGTCTCTCCGCGTCCATACTACCGCGTTAAATAAATAAATAGGTAAAACTGTGAGACGAGATGGGAACATGGGATTTAGGGACATGTGTCCCCGCCCTCCACGTAAAGCCGTACTATACCGCGTTGCCGTTGATGTGCGCTCTTTTCTTTTTGCTCTTCTTTCCACTCGGTGTGCCGGTGATAGTACTAGCACGCGCCCCAGTTCGCACCTGTGTCGAGCCTGTGTGCTGTGTGTGAGAGAGAGTTGTGTTGTTTAAATTCTTTCCACTCGTGTGTGGACACACACAAAAGTTCGTCAGACCACGCGCTTTCAATAGAGAGACAGCGCGTGCAATTACTGATGTAGTTACGCACCCAGTAACAATGGTGTCGCAGGAGCGCGCCCCATGCTGCACGGCGCGCTTTGCGCTGCCACACCGCTCTCACTTGTGCCAAGCGACGAGCAGGGCTGGGGGGCGCTGCCCCTCATGCCCGCTCGGGTTTTACCCGGCAAATCTGCTTGCTGGCCGCTGAACAACAGTACCCCTCACTCATGCCCGCTCGGACACCTCCGCCCGGGCCTTCTCGAGGTCCGCCTCGCGCATCGCGCCCTTGAGCTCCGCCACCTGGTCGAGCGCGTCGCCGAGCAGCCCCCACGCCAAAGTCGCGCAGCTGCTCCACGCCGCCGCTCGCCTGCACCTCGGCGGCGTGGTCGGCCACGAAGCGGCGGCACTGCGCGAGTAGCCGCCCGTCGCCCGTCGTGTGCGCCGCCTCGAGCAGCGGCACGGCGGTCGCCGGCGCGACGCTCTCCTGCAGCGCCTGCGCGCAGAGCAGCTCGAGGCGCGGCACCTGGTACATTTGCGCCAGCTCCCGCAGGTCGAGCGCGCGCTGCGCCCTGCCCTCCTCTTCGCCGAGGTCGAACTTGTCGGAGAGGAGGTAGTCGATCAGGGCGGTGAAGCTGGCGGGGTCGGCGTGGGACACCGTGACCTCGGCGGCGTCGCGCTCCTTCATGCCGATGCCAAACATGGTCCGATAGACCGGGGACCGAATGCAGAGCACGTTCTTGCTCACGTGCTCGATGCGCTCCTCGTCGTCGCCGACCAGGAAGGTGACCTTCCCCTCTGGGAGGGTGGCGTCGCCCCGCGTCTTTGCGAGGTCGGCCAGGATGGTAGAGGGCGGAACGACGATCGGGGCAAAGGAGGGAGGCGGAGGAGGCGCCGCCACGCAGACCTGGCGGAGGCCACCGCTCGAACTGACCAACAGCGTGCTGCCATCGGGGCTGATGGCGACTTCTTCTGGGTAGTTGAACTGCGCTGCATCGCCCACGCCGTCAGCGCTGCCCGCTGTGCCGCTGCCCGAGATCGTCGTCACCTCGCCAGTCGTCACCTCCAACCGCCGGATCTTGTCGTTGCTGAAGTCCGTCACAAACAGCGCGCTGCCGTCCGGGCTGATGGCGAGGCCAGTTGGGGAGCAGAACTCCGCCGCGTCGCCCAAGCCATCCGCGTCGCCCGCCTTGTCGCTGCCCGCGATGGTCCTCACCTCTCCCGTCGCCACCTCCACCCGACGGATCTTGTTGTTGTTGCAGTCCGCCACAAACAGCGCGCCGCCGTCCGGGCTGATGGCGATGCCAGCTGGGTTGGCAAACTGTGCCGCGTCGCCCACGCCATCCGCGTCGCCAGCCTCGCCGCTGCCCGCGATCGTCGTCACCTCTCCCGTCGCCACCTCAACCCGCCGGATCTTGTTGTTGCCTTTGTCGGCCACAAACAGCGCACTCCCGTCCGGGCTGATGGCGAGGCCAGATGGCTGGTAGAACTGCGACGCGTCGCCCACGCCATCGGCGCTGCCCGCTGTGCCGCTGCCCGAGATCGTCGACACCTCGCCAGTCGTCACCTCCACCCGCCGGATCTTGTCGTTGCTGAAGTCCGCCACAAACAGCGCGCTCCCGTCCGGGCTGGCGGCGACGGCGTAGAAGACAGAAGTCGCCGGCAAAGCTGCCACGCGGCGCACGCGCCCGGCCGCCGAGACGTGAAGCAGCGAGTCCTCGGTCGAGACGTACCAGGCGCCAGTGTGGTCGCTCGCGACGCCAACCGGACCGAGCGATGCCAGAGGGCCGTCCTCGCCCTCGAGCGTCAGCGTGGTGACCTGGCCGACGACGCGCGCGCCAAAGATGGGAGCCTCGAAGCCATCCGCGATCGGCACGGGCTCCTCGGCGTCTCCACCGGTGCGGGCGCGCTTGCGGGCGGCGGACGCCATGTCCATGTCCATGTCCATGTCCATGTCCATGTCCATGTCCATGTCCATGTCCATGTCCATGTCCATGTCCATGTCCATGTCCATGTCCATGTCCATGTCCATGTCCATGTCCATGTCCATGTCCATGTCCATGTCCATGTCCATGTCCATGTCCATGTCCATGTCCATGTCCATGTCCATGTCCATGTCCATGTCCATGTCCATGTCCATGTCCATGTCCATGTCCATGTCCATGTCCATGTCCATGTCCATGTCCATGTCCATGTCCATGTCCATGTCCATGTCCATGTCATGTCATGTTCATGTTCATGTTCATGTCATGTTCATGTTCATGTTCATGTTCATGTTCATGTTCATGTCATGTGCATGCACACACACACATGTACATGTACTGCATGAATGCTTGGGCAAGTGTGAACAACACCTCGTGACCACGGCGCCGCAGGCGCCTGTTGATGGGTCCAGGTGATAGCACTGGATGGGCAATGCATACGCCTAGTTGGACCTCAGATCGCCCGACCGCGTCCCGGTGCTCTGTGGTCGGATTTGTGACGCCGCCGCACCGCGCCGCGGCCGGGGGCCCTCCGGAGGACGAGGATGGCCGTGATGGACCGGGACGAGCTCTGGGAGGTAGAGTGTCAGTGAGTATATTGTAGAGACAGACCGTATGCACAATATCTCTCAGTCTAGCTAAGCCTGGGAAGGCGATGCCGGAGCCGTACAACAGCTTGATGGTGCTTCGCCGGCGTGCGTCCCGGAGCGGTCCCGGACGGGGGCCCAGGGGAGGAAAATGGAGGACAACGCCGACACCGCTCTGATTCGACTTTTAACTTCAAACAAAGACAGTGGCACGCGCCGCGGCGCGGTGCATGCCACTGTCAGGAGCGGATCCGCCAGTTAGTCGTGTTCACGCCGGGATATCGTGTCCTCCACAACCTGCCCAACCATTCAGGGCGACGAGTAGAAAACGAGAGGAAGGGTGAGCTTGCTGTCTTGCCAACAACATACCTAAAACCCAGGGAGCAGGGTATGCGAGTGCGCGAAAAACTGACACCACCTGAGTTGCCAACAATAGAGACCTACTAGGTACTACATGAACCTCAGGGAGTGGACACCACTGTCCAAGACGCAAGAGCAAGACCAAGTGCCAGTGCGCCAGTGCTCTCCATGACCATGTCTCCTTGCGTTGAGTTTACCGTATAATGAGAGCAAAGACGAAAGAGTGGATATCAACGTCGCGTGCAACACCCAGTCCGTTCCGCTCTACAGCGCCGCCATGCCCTCAGAGCTCCTTCTTCTGCTTGTTGACAATCTTGAGCACCTCAATCTCAAAGTCGAGGGTGCCTGCGCCGCGGCGAGGCGGCAGTGAGGAGGAGAGCGCCGCTTCCTCGGGCAGCGTCGAGAGCAGCGCACCGCCGGGAGGGATGCCCCAAGCAGGGAAGCCCTGCTTCCCGTAGCCTGAGGGCGCGGCGCGCTTGAGCCGTCAGGGCCAAAAGGCAGTCGGCCGAGCAGGGTATGAGAGGGCGGCGTGCCCACCTTCCTCGGCCGGGATATTCAGTTTCCTCACCTCGTTGAGCTTCATGCCGAGGCAGCCCTGATCCCAGCCTGAGAGCGGCGGCAAGCCTTGAGCGTGCGAGGCAGTCGTGGCGTCGGCTGCGGGCGAGCACCTGTGATGACGCCGCCCACGCCTGCCTGGTAGGTGAACGGCTGCTGGCCGGCGTCCTTCGTGCTCCAGAACTTTTTGCTCGTCTCCGCGACAATGCCAGTCGCGTGGACGGTCACCGTCGCGCCCTTGGACACGACCTCGCTGCCCGTGCCCATTTTGACAACCTCGTACGTCGTCTTGTAGCCAGCCAGAGGGAGAGCGTCCGCCGCGGCGGCGATGAGCACAAGCGTTGAGTACAGCCACATATGGGATTTATGACTTGAAGTCTTTCCACACGTTTTCCGCGAGCGGCGGCGCTCTTGGAGAGAACGCCAAAGAAAAAAGTGTGTGCTTGAGTGATCTAATCACCCGAATACCACGTTCGGATCGCTCGCAAACCCTGTCAGCAGTTCACCCTCGGGTATGTTCGTAAGAGCTACAAACACTTTCGAAAAAACTTCAAAAGCCTGGTGACCGGGTTTCGCATCTTCTGTTGAATCCGCACGCCCGCCGCCGCGCCGCCGCCCCGCCGCCTTCGCCGCCGTACCCGCCAGATGTCGGGTGTGCCAAAACCATCGCTCCCTCCGCCCACACGGAAATACGTCAAGGAACGGCGCGGCGGGCTCGGGATCAAGATCAAGATGGACGGGAGTGGGTCGTTCCTGGGGACTCTCTCAGCTTCGGCAAAGGCGGCCTGCTCAGGGATGGCCTCCGGTTTCGGCCGCTGTTGCTCGGCACCAGCTGCGGCACCAGCTTCGGCACCAGCTGCGTCCAGCCCCACGCCAACTGATGACGATGCCGCGGAGCGAGGGCTCTACGGGTTGCGAGGCTCAAAGGCAAACTAGAGAGCCCGCAGCGGGCACGATGAGTGAGCGTTGGCCGCCTTCTTGTGTGTCTTCGTTCTCCCAGCACCCATGCTGTTCAACACGCGGCGCCACGCCTCGGGCTGTGCCCGGCCGCTGTGTTGCTGTTTCGGTTTGCCACACACGCAAAAGTCGCAACGCGCACCGGTGCCGGTGCAGTGCAGTTCTCGTGATGTGACCTGACGAGTGACGAGCGTGTTGAACCGAGTGTGTGTGCAGTGACCAGTGGTGTGGTAGGTGATGCTCGGTCGCGCGCCGATCGGTCTCGCGCTCTTCTAAACACCGTAAACACGCCGCGGCCCGGCGCGGGCGGTGCTGGGGGGAGAAAAACGCCCGACACCACCCCGCACCCCGCGAGACCCGGCTCATTCCCTTTGCGCATCGAGGAACTCGACGTACCGCTCAACGAAGCGTTTGCCGGCGGGCATGAAGTGGCCTCCTCCGTGCCGCACCACCTCCGCCCTCGCGGGGCAGAAGAGGCGGACAAGCTCCTCGCCGCCGCCACCCGGCGCTACGCCGTCCCCCTCTCCGACCACGTGCAGGGAAGGCATCGCGATCGGCGCCGAACGCTCGTAGAGCGCGCCCAGCTCCGGAGCGGCGCCGACGAAACCGCCGCAACAGAGCACAAACCGGAACCGCACCGCCGGAGCGGCAGCAGCCTCCGCCGCGACCTCGCCGCCGCTGCCTGCAGCAGCCGAGGCGCGACCCGAGACGAGAGCGGCGAGGGCGGCGGCGACAGCGGCGCCCTGCGAGGCCCAGGGAGCGCGGCGCCCGCACAGGGTCGGGTTGAGGGTTGAGGGTCGGGTAGGGAGCAAAGCCATGAGGGTTATTGGGGACGGGCGTAAGCCAGGGCCGGGTGTGTCAGACTCGCTCCAAGCTGTATATCTCGGCTAGATCTCGGCTAGAATCGGCATGCGTCAGGCTCGCTCCAGGCTTTGTGTCAAGCGCGGCAACGCCTGGCCGCGGCCTCGGCTCCATCTCGGCTCGTCTCTCGCCTGGGAGAAGCCGAGCACGCCGTCGAAGGGGCCGTGCGCCTAGACTGCGTCCTGGACATGTCGTGGACACGCCCTAGACAGGAGCACGCCGTCGGAAGGGCCGTGCGCCGCGAACGCATCGTCGAGCGCCTGGAGCGTCCGCCTCCACCCGCACCGCTGGGCGGCGAGTGGGCAAGCCCCGTCCCTGGACGCCTCCTCCCGGGGCCCCGCCTCCCCCCCCTCGTGCAGCCAGCAGTACTTTGGCCGCCGCGCCTCGCCCGCCCCGCCGCCCTCCCCGCCGCCCTCCCCGCCTCGCGCCTCCACCGCCCCGAGAAAGGGCCGCACCTGGTGCAGCCGAGGTGCGGCCGAGGTGCGGCCGAGGTGCGGCCGAGGTGCGGCCGAGGTGCGGCCGAGGTGCGGCCGAGGTGCAGCCGAGGTGCAGCCGAGGTGCGGCCGAGGTGCGGCCGAGGTGCGGCCGAGGTGCGGCCGAGGTGCGGCCGAGGTGCGGCCGAGGTGCAGCCGAGGTGCGGCCGAGGTGCAGCCGAGGTGCGGCCGAGGTGCGGCCGAGGTGCAGCCGAGGTGCGGCCGAGGTGCGGCCGAGGTGCAGCCGAGGTGCGGCCGAGGTGCGGCCGAGGTGCGGCCGAGGTGCGGCCGAGGTGCGGCCGAGGTGCGGCCGAGGTGCAGCCGAGGTGCGGCCGAGGTGCGGCCGAGGTGCAGCCGAGGTGCGGCCGAGGTGCGGCCGAGGTCGCGCCTCGTGCGGCGCGTCGACAAAGACCATCTCCACCGACCCAGCCTACTCTGGGCGGCGCCTCGTGCGGTCCCTCTCCACACGGACCCCAGCCTGCTCCCCCCCCCCCCGGCCCCACCCACCACACCCACCCACCCACCCACCCACCACACA